GTTTTCTTTTTATGGTGTTCTTCATTTTCATTGTTCTCTGCATCCGAGTAATCGTCCCTCGAGTTATCATTCGTTCCCCTTTTGATTTTCTTATTCTTATCTTCTATGTTATAATTTTCCTTCAAGTCCTCTTTAATTTTACTCAGAACTTTTTTTATGTCGTCCTTTATGTCGTCTAATTTATGTTCCACATTTTCCTTTATATTTTCAAAAGCTTTTTCAAGTTCTCCAGCATTAAGTCCAAATACCTCGTCATTTGCTACGTTACCAACAAGTTTCGGCTTTCTGTCACACTTCTTCTTTTTACGTTTTCGTTCGCCACTTCGATCTTCCAAAGTGCAAATACAGCTATTACCTGTTCGTTCGCAGAAGGGTTTGTAGTGTTTCGTTGCTTCCCTGAGACGAGTTAGAAAATCAGGCATGGCCCTCATTGCCACCCACGAATTAATGCTGTTGGGGATGTTAACTCCAGGGTTATCGAAGTAAGTTAGGACGAATTCGATACCAGGCTTGTCTAGTTCGGTGTATGGTTTAACAACCATTGCAGAAAAATAGTCTGTCACCCTATATTTATCCTTTTGAACTGGATACGAAGGGTGTGTTGTACTTTGGCTAATTATGACGATTATCTTTTTGTCGCAATCCACTGTAAAACGACGGTTGAACACATAGTCACGATTGGTGAAGAATTTCTGAAAAGAAAAAGAAAAGCTTCAAATAATAATCATTATATAAATAAACGTTAAAATTAACATTTTTTTTTCTTAAAACATAATAGTGAATGTACAAGTAGTAAATAATGTATTAAATAATATGAAATTTGAACTTTTCATACATCAAGTTAATATTTTTTAAATACAGTAAATTCGATTATAATGAGTAATTTTTGAATAGTTAGTGCAATAGATAACATGGTGAAAATAAAATTAACATTATATATTTCTTTAACTTACTAAAACTAATTATTCAAATTAAATCTCCTTGCCTTATTCTATAAAAACCATTAACAATGTATTGAATGCAAAAAAGGAGAAAGAAAAAAAAATGCAGGGTATTTGAGTGTAATTTTACTTTACAGAGTCCTTGCTGTGTTGCTATAAAGTTAATTTGTTTTGCATGGTTTGGATTATTTCCAAATATTATCCTACTAAAAATAGTGTTTACCTTTGTGCTAAAGTAAACATATTATTGCATACAACATAGAAATAAAAAAAATAGAAAGCATTACATACTGGCCATTGCATTTCCCAGTAAATGATGTCACTATTCGACTCTGTATTTGGATCAGCCTCTACTATATCTAGTTGAATTGCTGTATTGTCCCATTCTTTGCGGTATTTTGTATCTATCTGTACATTAAGAAAATCTTCACCTGATACATCATGATAAGACCCATAGACTTTGTATTCAAAATTGCCAGAAGAATGGGGCCTTCTCCATACTATCATATCCTGTTTCTCGATGAATACAGACCACTCGTCGTAAGTCTGACGATCTTTACCTGCACAATGAGAAACATTTATATAACCAACATTATTACTATCTACTTTCCTTCCAGTACATGTAGAACATGATATGGTCTTGGATTTTAGCAAATATGCATAATTAAATGCATCAAAATGCTTGACCATTTCTTCATCTTTGATACGATTGGTGTTCCAGTCATACACAGAAGATAATAAAAATAATTATTAATCATTTAACAAAAAAACTGAATCGATTTTTGTTATCCCTGGATTTTAGTTAACATACATGAGTAGCAAGGTAAGTTAATTTTAAGATTTGGTAAGGCCATTTGAATTTCCTCTTTGTTTTTACTGACCTCTTGGATTTCGACTTGGATGTGCCCCTTTTGGCCGTGGCCGTAGTCTTTTTTCCATAAGGAGTTGGAGGGTATTTTGCAGGAGCCCGGTGCCTGAAGCAAAAAAAAAAAGAACTTTCTAAAGTACACACAAAAAGTTTTACAGAAGTTTTAATATTTTAATCTGGTGCTAGGCCCAGACAATTATACAAAAAAGAAAATTAATACAAAATTATTAATTGCATTTATAGTTACATAAGGAACTAAAACAATAAAACTCTTCGTATGTTCCATAAAATAAAGAGTTTTGTTGCATTAGTTTCTTATTTAATTACAAATGTACTATCTAGTACCAACAGCTAAATTCATCGCATTTATAATTATTAAATAATTTGAAAGCTTACCATAATTTAAAATTTTCTAACTTCCCGTTTCTTCGAAAATGGTCCTATCTATCCTACAACCATGACTCCTTCCTGGATGGTATTGGATATCACCATAACAAATGACCCAAAACATATTTGCAAAAAGAATAACAAACTAATATTAAAATACAGTATATACATATTTGGAAAACAAATGTAAGTAGGTGTTTCAATTATTATTGGGTAAAGTAAATTTTACTTTTAACCATTAGATAATTATTGAAATGATGGACCCTTTTAAATCGTTAATGTAGTAACATTAATTACAGTTATTGTAATAATATAAAGGCAATAAAACAAAAATGTTTAAGAACTTCGACGTACCTTTTAGGCAAATTATTTAAAATTAATTGTAAGAAAACAAACTTGACTTAAATATCATGAGAACTTATGAAGTAATTATAAAATGTTAACAAATACCTTAATTTATAACTAATGTTTTAATGAAAGACAGACAAGACTTACACAAAACAGTAGATAAAACAAACTAAATTTTTAACAGCTTTAAAGTAGAACTTTCTCAAAAAAATCTTACCTTACAACTTACATATCGAAATTCTTTTCTCATAGTCTGTTATCCCCTACACTTTAATGGTTGCACCATTGCACCAATCGTTTATGTGGATTCACTTTACAATAAAAAAATATTAACATTTTAAACTGTAAAGTACGTATTATTCAACGGTAATAAATATACAGTGCATGTTTTATCTCTTAAATGTAAATAAGATTGTAAACAAGACTAGTTATTATAAAAAAAGCATATAAAAATATTTCTTGCTGTTACAGTTAGTATTTTTGTGACGATGGTTATCAAAACGTTGCGCCAATATATACATAAATGAATTACCGTGATATCAGAATAAAAACTTTGGAAAAATTGCAATAAAAAATGCAGCACATGTATATTGTTAGCAGAGGGCAGTACAAGAATTTAAAATGTCGTGTGTTACACATATTTGGCATTTTTAAAGTCGCTTAAATTCTCTCTTTTTTTGTTTTGTGTTACCTGTTGACAATTAATTAGTATGGTTAACTAGGATAAGTACTACTTCTACAATATAAAAAATTGGATAACATAAACTATCCCCATCATCTGTGATAATAGTCGTAGTCGTAGAAATGTCTCCAAAACTTTTTCCTGTCTTGCTCATTTCTTACAGCAGGCGTAGGAGAAATAAGTATTTCCTCAGCTTCTTTATTGGCACCGGCAACGTTTGGTTTTTTTGGTTTTACAGGATGTTCTTTATTAGTTTTCTTTTTATGGTGTTCTTCATTTTCATTGTTCTCTGCATCCGAGTAATCGTCCCTCGAGTTATCATTCGTTCCCCTTTTGATTTTCTTATTCTTATCTTCTATGTTATAATTTTCCTTCAAGTCCTCTTTAATTTTACTCAGAACTTTTTTTATGTCGTCCTTTATGTCGTCTAATTTATGTTCCACATTTTCCTTTATATTTTCAAAAGCTTTTTCAAGTTCTCCAGCATTAAGTCCAAATACCTCGTCATTTGCTACGTTACCAACAAGTTTCGGCTTTCTGTCACACTTCTTCTTTTTACGTTTTCGTTCGCCACTTCGATCTTCCAAAGTGCAAATACAGCTATTACCTGTTCGTTCGCAGAAGGGTTTGTAGTGTTTCGTTGCTTCCCTGAGACGAGTTAGAAAATCAGGCATGGCCCTCATTGCCACCCACGAATTAATGCTGTTGGGGATGTTAACTCCAGGGTTATCGAAGTAAGTTAGGACGAATTCGATACCAGGCTTGTCTAGTTCGGTGTATGGTTTAACAACCATTGCAGAAAAATAGTCTGTCACCCTATATTTATCCTTTTGAACTGGACACGAAGGGTGTGTTGTACTTTGGCTAATTATGACGATTATCTTTTTGTCGCAATCCACTGTAAAACGACGGTTGAACACATAGTCACGATTGGTGAAGAATTTCTGAAAAGAAAAAGAAAAGCTTCAAATAATAATCATTATATAAATAAACGTTAAAATTAACATTTTTTTTTCTTAAAACATAATAGTGAATGTACAAGTAGTAAATAATGTATTAAATAATATGAAATTTGAACTTTTCATACATCAAGTTAATATTTTTTAAATACAGTAAATTCGATTATAATGAGTAATTTTTGAATAGTTAGTGCAATAGATAACATGGTGAAAATAAAATTAACATTATATATTTCTTTAACTTACTAAAACTAATTATTCAAATTAAATCTCCTTGCCTTATTCTATAAAAACCATTAACAATGTATTGAATGCAAAAAAGGAGAAAGAAAAAAAAATGCAGGGTATTTGAGTGTAATTTTACTTTACAGAGTCCTTGCTGTGTTGCTATAAAGTTAATTTGTTTTGCATGGTTTGGATTATTTCCAAATATTATCCTACTAAAAATAGTGTTTACCTTTGTGCTAAAGTAAACATATTATTGCATACAACATAGAAATAAAAAAAATAGAAAGCATTACATACTGGCCATTGCATTTCCCAGTAAATGATGTCACTATTCGACTCTGTATTTGGATCAGCCTCTACTATATCTAGTTGAATTGCTGTATTGTCCCATTCTTTGCGGTATTTTGTATCTATCTGTACATTAAGAAAATCTTCACCTGATACATCATGATAAGACCCATAGACTTTGTATTCAAAATTGCCAGAAGAATGGGGCCTTCTCCATACTATCATATCCTGTTTCTCGATGAATACAGACCACTCGTCGTAAGTCTGACGATCTTTACCTGCACAATGAGAAACATTTATATAACCAACATTATTACTATCTACTTTCCTTTCAGTACATGTAGAACATGATATGGTCTTGGATTTTAGCAAATATGCATAATTAAATGCATCAAAATGCTTGACCATTTCTTCATCTTTGATACGATTGGTGTTCCAGTCATACACAGAAGCCCCAACTACAGCTAGCATGACATCCTTTCTGTTCTTGAAAAGTTGTAATTTCAGTTGCCTCAAAAGTTCCTTTAAATTTTTTTCGTTCCAAAAACGATAGTAAATACAAATTAGCTGGTGTCCTTTCCTGATACGAAATGCCAAGATGTATTCCCACTGGCTAACCCATGTTTTGAACAGTCTTATCGAATGGCTACTAAAATTACTCAATTTCAACGAGTCCTTTAGCGACTTCGAAATCGTTTCATTGCTCAACGTTGCTTTTGCCCTGGTACGAAGATTTTTTACGTAAGAAGCCAATAAATTATTCGGAAAAAGCTTCCCAAAAATCATTTTGTTTCACAACACTTTGTAGGTTAAAAACTTCACAAGTTACATAAAATGTTTTAAATATTGGAGCGTTA